AAGCTTTTACAGCCTTCCAGTATGTCCATTTGTGATTTTTTATACCAGCAGACCTTGATTTTAGATTTCTATACAAATGGACACCACAAAGTCCATGAAAAGCATCTGGAAACACCTTCTAACAGCGTTGTCATTGAGTTTGCCCTATCGATATGATTTTCAGATTGCTAATAGGACCTATGCAATCCCTAAGATGCCCTATAAACCATGTCCATAAATCAGAGGTTTCAGATTTGCCAACCCCGTAAGCTATTGGTAGTATCCCATTGTTAGCATCCATGGCTACTGCTAATAAGTTTACTCCAAGGTATCAACCTTTTAAATGTGTTCCGTCAACTATAATAACTGGGCGCATGCAAGTAATAAACGAACGAATCTACAAAATCATATACACAAGAAATATAATCATTTAAATGTGAAATGCATGTAACTAACAAAAATGAGTCAACAAAATTATATTTATTTACTAACCGCAGCACCAATGGCGATAAACAGCAACTCAAAGCGTCCATCTCTATCTGTTTTGATATGAGTTACCGACCCAGGATTTTTCAGCTTTAAATTGTGACAATAAGCCGGCAATTGGGCAAACGATGCTTCTGGTGACCCCCTCAACAATTCCAATGCATAACATTTGACTCTCCAAGCTTGAGAATATGAGATACTAATCTTGAACCGAGCATTCATGTCAGTCATAATTTCATGTCCCCGATATACCATGCCATTCAAAAACATTAACTCAGCCAGAAAACCACCCAACACCTTTTTTTTGCCTGTCTATGGTGAGGAAAAACTTGGGTTCTTGAACATGTATGTTTATCAATAAAAGTCCTAACTTGAAACATTTCGCAATCTTTTATTCTCTTTGCAATCATATGCCACATACAGTTTTTTTCAATCATACACCTTGTTTCGAAACGATCTTTGCTTGATTTGTTAACTTTTAGTTGATAGCCATCTTCCACATTTCGTATACAAAGCTATCTTCAAGTCTTCCTTTGTATCAAAACAATCATCTTTCTTGATACGAATAATTTTTGTGGAACAATCAACTGCTATCTTTACCAACTCTTCTTCCGGTATCTGAAGTAATTCTGGCATATTCCAGTTGTACTCCTGTGGTATTTTCTTCGGGGACTTTTCTTTGGGGATTTCTTCTTCTTCTTTTTATTCTTCAGGGTTATATGAATTATAGAATGGATGTTCAACATGTTCATTTACAAGCGTAACTTCCTCCTCATTATCATCAACAACATCTTCATCGGCAACGACTGTTTCATCATCAAAATTCGGGTATTGACCAATATCAAAATCATTACACGCAGGGTCTGTTTCTTCTTCTGAAAAATCATCAAAATCCAAGTATTGACCAAGATCAAAGTCTGGGTATTGACCAAGATCAAATTTCGAATACTGACTAGTACTCACAATTTTTTCTGTTGGCTCATCATCGTCTAACTGGTTAATACGAAAAGAATTGGTGCTGAAAGTTGATTGAGATTTGGATTAGGGAAAGGTTGTGGGTTTTGAGATTGTGTTTGGTATTGGAAATGTGGTGAAACAATATTTGCTTGGTGATGAAATTGTGGTAGAACCATTAAATTTTGAGCACCATAAACTGGGGTTGAAAAACTTAGTTGATTACTACCCGCTACTTACCCAACTTCACTACTTCTAGGTTCAACAACATACAATGTAACATCATCACTTGAAACACTAATGTAAGCAATGAATCGTTCAACATCTTCATTGTCGGTTAACAAATAAACTTTACCATTTCTCTAATAAGATAGCCTAAATCCACTTAGGGGCTCTAAATTCAATTTATTTGCAACACGTAACATTAGAGTTTCATAAGTTAACTTTTTTAATGACTGTTTTAGTTGAAGATTCATGGGTAAAGACATATATTGTAAAACACCATGAACATTTTCCCATGACCCTCCAAAACACAAATCTATCCAAACATGATCAACATTAGATGATTTCATTATTGTAAATTAATTTACTAAACAAACGAGCTGCGAAACTAAAACCTGTTGCCGGATGGGGAAGGATGTCGTTGGATATAGGAACGGATGTCGCCAGAGAGAGTGATAGATGGAGATGGAATGAGTTGCGATTTAGGGATTTAGGTTATGAGTTGCTGCTGCTGCGTAGTTATATATCCAAAACATTTGTGTTGCGAATTCAGAAATCGAGTTGCGAATTTAAAATTCAGTATTGCGATAGTAAGAATCACATTGCGATAGTCAAAATCGCGTTGCGATAGTCAGAATCTCGTTGCGATAGTCAGAATCTCGTTGTGATAGTCATAATCGCATTGCGATAGTCAGATTCGCGTTGCGATTTACGTATTCGCATTGCGAATTAGGAAAATCGCAATGCGAATTTGGAAAATCGTAATGCGATAGTCAGAATTGCGTTGCGAATCTGGAAACTGATTTGCGATACCGGAGATCACGTTGCGAATTATCGATCGCATTGCGATTTAGTTGGTCATTTTGGCAAATCCAAAAAAAATTCGTAAAATCGTATATTATAACATTTTTGGTCACTGAGGTTATTTTCTCTATTTATTATTATCTTTAGTTAAATTGTTAAATTTAAATTCTAAACAATATTTAATAAAAAATCTAAATAATCAAATAATTTTTTTTTGTGTAAATAAATTATTAAATTAATGTTGTAGGTGGAAAACATGAAGAACTATTAAAAAATTTGAAACATAAACTTTAAAAGTATGGACACTGTTTCGACAGTAAGTTATGTCCAACTATTGTCCAGAAAAAAATATCCATACCTATATTGTATGTATCGATACTTATATTTAAAACTTAACATGTTAAAATAAAATAGGTCCTACCTATTATGTTAAATTATTTACTGGTTTGCTTGAAGGTTACTTATAATGTAAACGGTAAAATAAAATAGGCGTTACCTATTACGTTAAAATACCTACTGATTTGTTTAAAGGTTACTAATAATGTAAACGATAAAATAAAATAGACACTACCTATTACGTTAAACTACCTACCTGTTTGTTTAAAGGTTACTAATAATGTAAAAGATAAAATAAAATAGGCACTACTTATTACGTGAAACTAACTACTTGTTTGTTTAAAAGTTAATAATAATGTAAAAAATAAAATAAAATAGGTGTTTCTATTATGTTAAATATGTTCTATCTATTACATTAAATAAATATTACCTATTATGTTAAACTAACTACTGATTTGTTTAAATGTTAATAATAATGTAAACGGTAAAATATATATAACTTAACTGTTTGAAATATTTTTTTAAAATTCGAAAGTATGGATGCTTACTCTAAAAGTATGAATACTCTAATGGTTAATAATAATGTATTCATACTTACTCTAAAGTATGGATATGTTTCGACAGTATGTAAACGATAAATATATACAACTTAACCGTTTGAAATATTTTAAAAATTCGAAAGTATGGATGCTCTAAATGTTAATAATAATGTATCTATGCTTACTTTAAAGTATTAATTTGCTAAATTATCGACCATCAGATCATAGTAGTATCGATATTTATTTTAAAAATAATTATAATCCACATATACGTAATATATTAAATCCTACCGATATCATTAAACACAACTTTAATACTCCATATTGTAATATATTTCTTTATTCAAAATAACATTATTTGACGCAACCTAGTATGTTAATATTTATTTATAAAAAATTAACATATTTTATCGTCGTGGGATTTCGAATGCCCCTTCAATTTAAACTTTGATAACATTATAGGCGCTATCTATGTTGATAATATTAATAACAAAATAAGTAATTAACCTATTTTTTTATTGTCGGATTTTTAAGGTCCCATCAGCTTAAACTTTGATAATATTTTAGACGCTACCTAATTTGTTGATAATATTGATAACAAATTAAGCAATTAATATATTTTGTTATCGTCGGATTTCTTAAAGTCCCATCAGCTTTAAAAAGACGCTACCTATTACATTAAATAAGCACTACTTGTTATGTTATTATGGTTAATAATGTTTCCAGTAATTAACTGGTTGTGTTATCGTCGAATTTCTAAAACTCCATTAACTTAAACTTTAATAACATTTTAAGCATTATCTAATATGTTAATAATATCGATAACAAACCAAATAATTAACTTATTTTGTTATCGTCGGATTTAAGACCCCGCCAGTTTTAAAAAGACGCTACCTATTACGTTACAAAAGTGTTATCTGTTATGTTATTATGATTGATAATGTTTCTAGTAATTAATTAGTTATGTTAAAGTCGATATTTTTTTGACGCATTTTACATACCACGATAATATTATTGATTATTACCATTATTATTACCAACACAAATAATATTTTCGGTGAAAACATATAACATTTACAGTAATATTTTTAACTGAACACCTATTTAATCAGTTACGTCATTTTTAACTATATATTAATCCGCTTGAAAATATCTCTAAAACAAATTTGAATAATGTTTTTAAACCTCTCCATTCGAGCTCCAATCAGCCCTCTCTCAGTGGTCGTGCCTTGCACTGCCCACACCGTCGTGACCATCGTTCACCCTCGACTAAAATTCGACCAACCACACTTCGAGAAGCTCCACTGTTAGCAGTGAAAGAATTCTCGAACGCTCGTCGAAATCCCAAACAACTGCCTCAGTTTTCTTCAATTTTTGGCCGATCAATTTGAGAGGTTAGAATAATAATAAATTGTCCAAATAAAATTGGAAGAAAAATTATAATAAATGTATATTCTCAAATTCATCTTAGCCTTATATATTTATCTAAGAAAAACAAGTAAATTTAACAAAATAAAACAGATATATTACTAAGCAAGTTGATAAATGGTTGATAAATAGAAATTAAATTAAAACTAATACTTATCCATTGCTATATATGAACAAGGAATTTTCAGTTAATTTCTTCTATATTTGTTTCCCTGGATCTTTTATTTCTAACTACCCTTTTCTCCTTTGTTTTCAACGATTTTTTGGAACATAGGGTTTTCCGTAGAGTTCTTGCATTAAAAAGAAAATATTTTTCAAGGCAAGAATTCTGAGAAAAGGGGTTAAATCTTAAGAAGACAAGAGATGAGCTGGTTGTCTTGTTGCAGGTCTGAGGAGCATCATCATCGCGGTGTTTCTCGTAATAAGAAACACACCAACACCACCTCCTACAGTGGGATATCATTTAGGTCTTTCATGCATACTTTGTCTCTCAAAACAGGTACTTATTTTTTTCATGTTTTGATTCTTACAGAACGATTCTGCTATAAGAATCTTGTTTATTTGATATAATGTGCATGTATATGTTTATGTATGTATGTATGTATGTATGTATGTATATATATGTATGTATGTAGGCTAAACTCCTGTTGTTAATCATTTATTCCTCTCTGAAAGTATACAGAAGCAGGTAAATATATATAAACTTGTTCATGCATGGCGGATCGAATATGAATATGAAGATATAACCCTTAATCGTAATCGTATCGGATATCGATATCCAAATATGAGTCTTTGGAGGATCATATTATCAAGAGTTGTATTGTCATAGGACTGACTCGTATTTGGATATCGATATGGGAATATGATCCTCCAAAGACCTTTAAATAGACTAGTGTCGGTACTCAACCTGAATACGAGTAACGTAAGCCGAATGGAAACACAGATATATCTTTATGCTACCAACCTTGGTGAACTTATAATTTTAGTCATGTTAATCAATGTGCAGATGGCAGCCAGCAGAAGATAGCTGAAGAAATTCAGAAGATCGGAAAAGCGAAAGTTTCGGCTCGTATCTTCACATTCCGGGAAATTCTTCTTGCAACAGACAACTTCAATTCTGATTATCTGATCGGCGAAGGCGGATTCGGCAGGGTTTACCAAGGATACATGAATCCTTGATCATGTATACGAACATTCTCCATTTGTTGTCTGAAACTGACGTTTGATGGATTATTTCATAATCTAATAGTTCAATGCTTTTTTTTTTACTGTCAGGTTGTAGCTGTGAAGCAGCTTGATAGAAATGGAATGCAAGGAAGTCGAGAATTCTTCTCTGAGGTTCTCATGTTAAGTCTGGTTCAACATCCGAATCTCGTCAACCTGATCGGATATTGTGCAGACGGGGATCAAAGAATTTTAGTTTATGAATATATGCCTAATGGATCTTTGGAAAATCATCTACTAGGCAATGTCACATGTTATTTTTCACTTGTTTCGTGCTCGTTACGTTGCCGGAGTCGTTTTTTTTCCTGGACTTGAGTTCTGAGAATGTCATATGTTTGTTCAGATTTAGCTCCTGGTGAGCAGCCACTGGATTGGCATACAAGGATGAAAATAGCTGTAGGAGCAGCCAAGGGACTAGAGTACTTACATGACTTCGCCGACCCGCCGATCATTTTTCGTGACTTTAAAGCGTCGAACATCTTACTGGATGAGAGCTTTAATCCCAAACTTTCCGATTTCGGACTTGCAAAGTTAGGGCCAACTGAAGGGAAGGAACATGTATCAACAAGGGTGATGGGGACCTATGGTTATTGTGCTCCAGAGTATGCCATGACAGGGAAGCTGACAACAAAATCGGATGTCTATAGTTTCGGCGTAGTGCTTCTGGAGATGATCTCGGGGAGGAGAGCTATAGATCTCGAAAGACCGATCGAAGAACAGAACCTGGTTGCTTGGGTATGTTCTAAATTATGACATTTGCATGGTTTTAGATAGATTGTGAGTTTAATTTATCATACATGATCTTGCAGGCAGAGCCATTTTTTAAAGAAAAGAAGTTCACATCGATGGCCGATCCCCTGCTCGAAGGGAATTACCCCTTGAAGGGTCTTTGTCAAGCTCTCGCGGTTGCAGCAATGTGCCTTCAGGAGGATGCCGAGACCCGACCATTGATCGCGGATGTCATAATGGCCATCGAGTACCTAGCCAGGCCGAAAGAAAATGAAAACATCGATGCTGAATCGCAAATAAACAATAGTGAGCTGCCGGACTAAAACAATCAACACCAGAGCCAGAATCATCAAATCTACAAGTCATTCATAACAGTACTAGGATGATGTTTGTGTAGAAAAAACTGTCAGTCAGTTAGATAATTTGATTTAAGGGGCTGTAATGGTTCCGGTAGCATTCGTGTTTCGTGTATTCGAAACCGTAACCATTTCTAAGCCGTGTTTTGGTTGATTCGACGGTAGGAGAATTGCAGACATCATTCATTTTGTTATTTGTAATTGGCTCATTGATATGAACTTCATTCTTTTCTTCTCAAACTAATTGATTTGCATATCCGGACTATGCTCCTGAGTGTTGCCCTCTTTCAACCCTGTTCGATCGGCATCTTCGAAACATAAAACCATATTACGAACAATATTTTTCTTCTCTCCCAAGCAACAAGAGACAATCACACGGAAGTTAGGACATCGTTTTAAGGATCCTGTAATTGAACCAGGGATCCTGTTAACCGATTCATGTCTGCAACTTCGATTGCAGAACACATACTCGGTAAGAACCCGCCGTCGTTGCGTGATCTCCTTTCTTCTGTTCCAGCCGACGATCGAGAACCAAAAACCCGATCTTGAACGACAATTCGAGCAATCTATTTCCACTCGTACACCGGATCCCATGACTACCACTACTACTACCACCCACAGTACCCTGTGCTTCTACTCGAACTTGGCGAAGTACTCGATTTCCTTCTTGAGAAGTGATCCTACGGTTCCCTGTGCCTATAGCAATAGGAGCCGAACCACCACCAGCGGCGGAGGAGACCATTTTTTTCTCCGGGAAAAAGATGGCGTCTTTGAAGGTGGATTTATGCAGCATCTTGGCCTTTTTTGGAGGGTATTTTAGGTTGAAGAAAGTGGTGGCCCCTGCTTGTTTTGGATTTGAGAGTATCTTCTCTTGACATACATAAAGTAGTTAGCTTTGTTAAAGTGGACGGCATGAGTTTCTGCATAATTGAGGGGTTGACATCATCATTTGCCTGCTTGTGATTTTCAGTGAAAAGCATGCAAATTGCAATGCATGTTTCCGGATGATTTTCTGTCTTTTTCCTTTACCAGAAAATTACTATTCTCCCACTGATTTTAGGATTGGTTCGCTTCATCTCAATTAGGAATGGGCAAGAGTCTGTTCAGTTTTTCATTCATTTGAATTTGATTCGAGTTTTTTTTTTTACTTTTTTTTTGTTTATTATTGATTTGAATTTAAAGAAATTTCATCTATTTAAACTCGATCTGATTTTTAAATAAAAGTTCTCATATGATCTTGATCCGACCTAAATATAAATATATATATGAAATAAAATAGAGAACTACTTAAAAGATAGATGATGTATTATTATAATTTAATTATATAAAATAATTTTTTGGTATAATCATGGTATCGAATCTATTGATCGACTAATCCGAATAGGTACTACAGAGGCGAAGGTGACCCTCCCAACCCAGTTTGCTCCATTCGTAATCGTCATGATTTGAACCCTAGCCTTACTCAAGGGATCTAGTGCTTCATTCTATTAGACCAAACTAGTTATTGGTAAAATAATTTATTTTTCATTCTATATTCAAATTTAATTCATTATTACACTTTAAAATTCTCGACTCGATCTAAACTTAAAATTTTTATTAAAATTATATAATTATATCAAAATCTATCAAATATGGATTCCATATGTATCCCAATTCCAATCAATAACGTTAGCCATCCGGTTCAGTAAGATTAACAATAAACTTTACAATTTGTTTATTTTATTTAAACACAATTTGCATATTTATTTACAATTTTAGGTTATTAGTAAGGGGTCATAAGGTAGGCTCTTAGTGCCGATGACTTCTCTCCTTTGCTTTGTTTTTATGTAAAAAATCCAATCTATAATTACATTTTTTTATTAGTTTAAGTAATTATAAGGTAGTATATTTAAATATTTATTTTGAAAATGATAATTTTAAGTACTACCTTGATAAAAAAATATTTAGGTACTTAAGTAAAAAATTAGATATTTTAGATACTTTTGGATATAAAACTTTTGATATATAAAAATAACTCATCAATTATTACTTGGTCTAGTGAGGTAAGAGACACATACACTCTTCAGATTAAGTGTTTGAATCCCAACGTTTTACAGATGAAAAAGTCTAGATTGAAATAAATGTCTCCATAATAAACTTTAAGTCAAACCAATCGATCAATGAATTTAGGATATGTTTGTTTCACGTAAAACGTTTTTTGAAAAATATTTTCCTCATTTTTCAGTGTTCGATTGGAGAAAACTGGTTGGTCAACGTAAAACATTTTCTTGGTCAACATAATTTTCTTTGTATTTTTTGAAAAATGACTTATGGTCTGATTTTCCGTAAGTCATTTTCCGAACTTTTCATTTCAAATAATAAATACTTAAAATAATTTTATTTTATGATTCTAATATTAATAAAATATTTTAATATAATTTTAATCAAAATATTAATTATTAAAATATTTAAAATATATTTATTAATATTTCTAATAATATAATATTATATTTTTAATATTACTTTAAAAATAATTAATATAATTTATAATATTTTATTTCAATAAAATATACCAATATTAATATTTTATTAATAAAATTATAAAAAATAATATTTTAATAAATAAATTATTTTAATATTTAAAAATAATAATATTAAGTTTTATGACAAATAATATTATTTATTTTATTTAATATTTATAATAAATAATTTTGAAAAAAATTCATCAACAAGTAGAAAAATTGTTTAAACATCTTCCAAACATCAAAAAATATTTTTCAATTTTTTTTTCCAGAAAATATAATTTATTTTATCGTTTTAAATGAAACAAACGACCCTTACATTTATTCTTAGAGAAAATCGCCTCAGTGACCAAAAATGCCTTATAATATACGATTTTAACCAACTTTTTTTGGATTTGCCAAAATGACCAACAAAATCGCAACGCGAAATAAAAATCGCAACGCGATCCCCAGAATCGCAAATCAGTTTCCAAAATCGCAACGCGATTCTTGAAAATCGCAATGCGATAGTACAAATTCGCATTGCGATTTTACAGAATCGCAACGCGAATATGAAAATCGCAACGCGAACACATAAATCGCAACGCGTATCCGTAAATCGCAACGCGAACACATAAATCGCAACGCGTATCCGTAAATCGCAATGCGTATCCGTATATCGCAACGCGTATCCGTAAATCGCAACGACAATACGTAAAATCGCAACGCGTATCCGTAAATCGCAACGCGATTTTTAAAGCGCATTATAATCGCTACGCGTATTTTATTTTCAAATTACAAAAACGAATATTAAGACAAAATCCCGTAATCGCAACTCATAACCTAAAACCTAAAATCACAACTCAGTCCCATCTCCATCTCTCACTCTCTACGGCGAAATCCGTCCCCATCTCCGAAGATTTCCGTCCCCATCTCCGGCGAAATCCCTCACAACCATTCACGGTCAGAAATCCCTCACAATATTCAGAAATGGAAAATCAACCTCCGATGGTTAGTTTTTTTAATTATTTTTATTTTGAAATTTTTGCATTATTATAGGTTTTTCATATTGAAACTGATGATAAGTTTACTGGTCATTTCAATAATAGATTAACCATTTCACTTAGATTTCATTTCGCGTTACGATCTCTTGTTGCGATTTTCATTTCGCGTTGCTATTCTCTCGTTGCGATTTTCAAGTTAGTATTTGTCTTTGTCTTTGTTCTGTCTTTTGGTTGAAGTAATGCAATCCATTCAAGTTTCAATTTGCAGAAGAGTCGCAACGAGATAAATGAAAATCGCAACGTGAAAATGACTATCTGCAACGAGAAAAATGAAAATCGCAACGAGAGAATCGCAACGCGAAATGAAAATCGTAACGAGAGAATCGCAACGCGAAACCAAAATCGCATTGCGATTTTCATTTCGCGTTGCGATTCTCTCGTTGCGATTTTCATTTCGCGTTGCGATTCTCTCGTTGCGATTTTCATTTCTCTCGTTGCGACAGTCATTCTCTCGTTGCGATTTTCATTTCAACCAAAAGACAAAACAGTGTTGCAAATTTTAGTTTCAAGAATAAACTACTACTTTTTATGTTTATTGTTTTTGGTATATCTTCACAGTGTAGTTTTTGGTATATCTAACTTGGTATGTTTATTATTTTTGTAGAAATTTTTTTCGGCTTCATTGACATTAAGGAATAAAGTTAGCCTAGCCACTACAATTGCTTCGAAGCTTTCACCTGCACAAAGACAATTGTTTGAGGAAACCTGCTTCGGGCCATGGCTGAGAGTACAGCATCCGGGTGGAGATGCTAATTTGACCCATTTGTGGCTTCAGACCATGACATCAAATCTACCCGACAGTATACAACGTGGTGAGGAAGAGATATGGTTTCATTTTCCACCAGCGTATACTTGTTTTGGGCGGAAGGAGTTCTGCTTAATCACTGGTCTACGATTCGGACACGATGATGTAGGCCGGTACACTCGTCATATCGCTCGCCCATCATGGTTATCCCGGTTTTTCCGGATGAGTCAATGGAGAAGCCGAACCACACGTCGACGACCTGAAGAAATTGTTTAATAAGAAAGCTGGTTTCACTCGGATGGATGACGTCGATGTTGTCCGAGTATGCCTTCTACTACTTGTGTATGTCAGCTTTTTAGGCAAAGAGGCCAGACAACCTATTCCTCGGGAGCTAATAATATTGGTAGATGACCTGAATGCATGGAATCTGTTTCCGTGGGGTTCGTATATATGGAAAGCTACCTGGACTAAGTTGTCTACTGCCTTTGATGACCGCAAAAGTTTGCGTGGCGATGGGTCGAAATACACTTTGTCAGGCTTTGTTTGGGCCTTTAAGGTAAGAATTTCTATATAATGTTTCTAAAATTATAATTAATTATTTAACAATTACTAATTTTGTTATTATATTGTTTGTAGATTTGGATATTCGAGGCTTTCCCCAGCATGCGTACATATGCAATAAAAACGTCAAATGATATTCCCAGGGCTATTTCCTGGAAGAGGAAAACTCTGTTGGATTGGGAAGACTTAATACCATATGCGACAATAAATAATGTAAGTTAACACAAATACTTTCATATAATATATAAACAAGTTATTAATAGTAGACGTTTAACTTTGTTTGAGTTTTTATATTGTTAGGAGGCCAACATTCCATTACA